ACGATCAGCTGTGCGGAGGAAAGGACGTCCCATTGCTCTTAACATTTCCCTGCTTCTCGTGGTTTCCTCGCGTCTCTCCATGCTTCCCTGGTGGGAGGGACTAGTCGCAGGGAAACGACGCAAGTGAGGGACTCAAGGAATCCATTTAACCGAAATTAAATGCAGCCCAGGCCTCTCGTCTCCACCCTGGAACAACTGTTTCCCACTGCCGCCATAACCAATCTCTACTCCCAGCTCCCCTTTTCTAATAAACAAATGTTACTTTCACCAGCTGATTCCGAGTCTGATTATGGGTCCCCTCCAGTATATGTGACACCGACAGTGACTTGTACTAGCTGCTGGTCGCAGCTGTAAAAAAAACATTAAAAAATCTAACTTGCAGCTGAAAGCGTTGCGAGACACCCCAGGTGAATAGGGTAATGTTTTTTAACTTAAAGGTATCAGCTAGAAATGTCTCCAGTTAATTACTTACAATAAGGCAATTGTTTTTTGTATTACAAGTTTTCTGAAATTTTAAATATACAAATTAGCCATGATCTCATTAAATATGCGCATATTTTAACACATTTCAGGAATCTAAATCTGAACTTTGTATAAAGCCAGGTTCAAAATTCTTGTTTCATTTTGTAGTCATATTAGTATCTAAGGCTTTTACAGAAGGGATATTGGATATCTCTTTTTATCACTCCATAAATCAGAAAATACTGTCAATAGCCCTAAAATATCAATTTTCGCCATGTTTTTAGGTATACAATGTTGTATAATTCAGGCTATGAATGATATATGAACAACCCCTTCTGTAAAAGCCTTCATAATATTGATAGGAATATAACTGGAAGGTTTGGTGTATCTACGTGCTACTGAAGTTGAAATTTCGAACTCAGAGTAGGAGAAAAAACTCATTTTGAGAAAACGACCTTTGTAGTGCCGAGAGATAGGGAGTCGGAGGCGGTGCAATGGAGGTACAAAGCTTGCTTTAATGAGCAGCAGAAATGCAGGTGTTGTCGGGTCGCAGTCCGGGACGACAAGAGAGAGAAGACAGGAGGGCACACAATACATATAGACAACCACATACATGTCCGTGTGGAAACAATACCCCCAACTCTAGTTCCATGTGTGGATTATGTAACCCAGTGCATGGTCACCACACAAGCCCCCCCAGAATCCAAACATGGCAACAACAAAAAAAATCTCTGCGTCCGGGAGGAAGCACCACAGGGGCCGAGGAGGGTGAGGTTGCAGGTGAGGGCCGGGCCATGGAACGGGCCGTCGGAAGGGGGGCCGGAGGAAGGAGCGTAACCCGGCCGCAGGCAGACGAGCAGCGGCGGCGGGCACGAAATCCTCGGCAGGCGTCGAGGGATCCCCGGAAGGCAGGAGCAGTCTCCCCGGGAGGAAGGAGCCGTGGACAGAGGAGAGGCCAGACAGGGTCCCGGAGCGCGCCATCCATGTGCCGATGGAAGCATGGGCGACGTCCAAAACTGTCGAGGCGAGACGGGGTCCGGGAGTGCACTACCCAGGCGCCGATGGAAACATGAGTGGCGTCTGGAACCGCCGTCGAGGCGGTGAAAAAGTGAGAGTGTCAACACGAGGTCAACCGGCTGGTCGAACCTCCTCTCCGGCACCAAAAAAAGCCGTTAGCTGCTGCCGTTAGCTGGCAGCCATCTGTAGCTGCTAGCCGTAGTTAGCCAACGTGGTTAGCTGCTAGTTGTCGTTAGCTAGCGCAGCCGGGACGTGCAGCCGCACGCCCCAAAGAAACAACCCCACGAGGTAGCAATCGGGTTCATCCCTACCCAGCAGGTCGTGCATCGTCCACCCTGTAGTCGGAAGGCAGATGCGGGAATGGCGAGCAACATCCTCAGCCATTCCGCGAGGCGCGCACCGAGCCTCGGTCCGCGTGCCTGTAGCAGCCACGGTCGACTCCAAAAAATCCCCGGCATTTCGAGAAAGAAACCTGAGTTTCCTTTGCCGTGTTCGGGTCCGTCTCGGAAACTTCCCAAGACGCTGTCAGGGTCACCAGTGTAGTGCCGAGAGATAGGGAGTCGGTACAAAGCTTGCTTTAATGAGCAGCAGAAATGCAGGTGTTGTCGGGTCGCAGCCCGGGACGACAAGAGAGAGAAGACAGGAGGGCACACAATACATATAGACAACCACAACCACATACATGTCCGTGTGGAAACAATACCCCCAACTCTAGTTCCATGTGTGGATTATGTAACCCAGTGTATTAAAGGTGGTCACCACACCTTTAAAGATTGCAGTGAGGCGCTAGCTAAACCCTCCTGTTCTTTGGTAGATAGCTTGCGCATCGACGCACTCCGTGAATGTATTTCATGTTCGGGGTCATTTGTTTTTTGTATAACCTTGCTTCGTGCAAACGACAATTGTTGTCATCTTTTCTGTGAATGTTTTTTTCGCCGTTCTTTTGCCATTTTGAGATTTAAATTTCTAGCGGAAAGCTAACCAGGAAGTGTTTTAGCACACCACATGACGCATCTGAACGAATCACGTTGTCAGAAATTGACACCAGCCAATGAGATTTAGTTTCTTGGTTTAAGACCCCTTTGTACTTTCACGATTGGTTGCTGATACAAAGGAAATGACCATATTTGGATCTGATGCGATTGTGCAGGAGAGACGGAGCTTTCCAGCGATACCTCTGTTGACATGGTGCACACAGCGGTCACGGTACTTTATGTTACGTTAGAATGCTAACTTTTGGTGAATTTAGGATAAATCTACAGACGCAAATAGACAAACTATAGTAAAATAAACACTTAAATGTGTATTTTGTACGTTTTCCTTCCAAAAGCCTGAAAGAAAACATGTTATAGAATCAAAATAGCACAAAATCTCAAAATTGACCAGTGCTTGAAAAACGATGTTTTTGCCTGAAGTGTCTCGCCTTTAAGAATAGGGCATAATGTTCTAACAAAGTTATCAAAAACATTTAAAAAAAGGTTATTACCAAGCATTTTTAGAATGCTTTTAGAGAACGTTATCCTACCTTTCAGAAGAACATTCTGGGAACAACAAAATAAAACATCCGGCTGAAAACTTTTTAAGAATAGAAGGGCACAATGTTCTAACAATGTTATCAAAAACATCTTAAAGAGCTTACGAAATTAAGGACAATATGTTCTTATTATGATAATATATACTATTAAAAATGGAAAATCATTTGTCATTAATGACAATATGCCCGCTGTATTTATAAATCGTGATTTATTACAACTTTCCATATTCGTTTCCGATGTTACAAGACCGCACCGAACAAAACAGCTTTTGCCAGTTAGTGACGTCTCGCACGTCACGGTACGTCACGAGTAGAACACTTTTTAAATAATACACTAACTATATGGCTAATGTCGGACTCTGGCTCGGATATTTCGACAGAATCGAGTGCACTTCCAAGAAGAGGAGGATTTTATTGAAGAGGATGCCGGTGTGGTGGAATTAGATCATGCGGGCGAGTCTAACGTGGTGGAACCATACCAGTTTGAGCCACAGTATTCAAGTAGCGGTAGAGATACAGGGTGTTTCTCAATGTTGAGTATGCTTGCTTGGTAGCACGTCTTCCGAGCGTCTTGCTTCAGAAGCGAGGCAAGAATACTTCCTAGCCTCGGAAAACGAAGAATGGAACAGGCTAACAGGTGTGCAGGTGTGCGTCATATGCGAGGCCCCGCCTTAAATGGAGCGCGATTTGTTTGAAAACTCAACTGATTTACAAAGATGGAAACGTTTGTATTGGTTTCGTCTTGTATGCATGCATTTAATGAGAAGGAGGAAGAGATCGAACGGGAGTGTCGGCGGCGTCTGTCTGCTCGGAGGAGGAGGATGTTCTGTCGGCACCTTTGTGGAGGACGACGTGCTCGGGTAGGATAAATAATGTATTGTTTTATTTAATGTTGGGAGAATGGGTAAGCTAGTTAAATAAGTCTTGCCGCTTGCCTTCCGTACAAGTTTTATTCTCTAATGTGAATCAAGTAAATTAACTATCCCTAATTAAGCAAGGAACACTTTTCTCCCGTGTAAATTTTGCATATATAGTTTGTGCATGTTTGTAGTCGTTCTAACACTTTTCGATGCGGAGACAATGTGTAATCACATTGAAATTGTTTGTTTAATAATGCAAACACACACACGCAAATTGCAGATTAGAAACAAATGAACCATTAACAAGAAACAAATGTCAAGTAAACTGAAACTGCCCTCTATTCTTTATGTTGTGCAGGGCCATCACTACTGCATTAATCAATTATTATTATATTTTATTGTAATGTAGAGACAAGGCTTTTAGTGACAATCATGTATTGCGTTACAATTATATGTAAAAAAAAGTAAAAGAATAAATAAAAGTCTAAATATGATATTTTGCCCATAGACTGTATATATCAATGGACGTACACTGTAAGACTTTTTCCTGTAAAATAACAGTAAAGAGCTGGCAGCAGAGACGCCAGCCATTTACTGTTATTTTTACGGTATCTAACTGTGAAATTATTTTACAGCCTATTGCTGTAAAAGAGAAATACATTATATCTTTCCTTTGTTTAAATTTACAGAAAAAGTATTGGCATCACAGACCCCAGAAGTTTATTGTAATGTTACAGTATCCATACTGTTGAACAATTGTTAAAACGAATTAGCAGTTCAAATAAACATTGATTTATATCCATCAAAAAACATTTTATTTAAAAAGGACAGTGTCAACATAAATAATGCTTTTCCAAAATACAAAAATGTTTGGATAATCCAGAGAAACAAGAGATAAACATAGCAAAAATAATAGCCTGGGAGTTCATTAAACAATGTGTCTTAATACTCAAGATAACATAATATGAACAAATAATAAATGATACAAAGAATTCTGTGACGTAAACCACTTCAAAGATATTTCTCTGAATTTGCTGCTGTGGATTATCTCGTAACTGAACTAAACTAAAGTATTTGGAGACTAAGAACATTGCATTAAGAACATTTGAACATCAACATTAGTAAAGACATTTTAACAATGTTATCGATAGCAGCATGTTTGAACGCTAATTATCTCTCTTTAAAATATATCTAAATCTAGTGTATTTTTTCTTAATTTACAAAGGGTTTCTAATCGTTGTTTATCGTTGACCCTGAGAGTTTAAAAGTTGAAATGTTTAACTTCTGAACCTTATATGAACATCTTGAAATATTAAATCTTACTTTAAACTTTTACTTTCCTTCATTGCTTTTGTGCTGATTGTCTTTTTGTGTTGATTGAGTTCAAGCTAAATGAAGTCCCACTCAAAGTCCATTAGTTTCTTTATTAAGACGGACACATGTGTGTTTACCGTGGCAGACTTATTCTGGACAATCCGTCCAGACTTCTTGGAGACGACCTTACCCTGGGCTGCCTTCGTGCCTCTCTCCGGATTTATACCGATGAAGCGCCTGAAATCAGAATAGTCTTAGATAAGAGACTGAATAGAAAACTATAAGGAACACAAAAGGGTAATTTGGGTATATCAGGTTTAAAGAGATTACCAAGTTTGGAACATTAATTTGTATCAATTTTGGTCATTTATAATTTTTTGGGGAACTTGCCAGTTTAATAGTATGCAATTTGCATATTGACATTCACGCCTCATCAGAGCTTATAGGCATATTATAAGAGAGTCAGCTCTACTACAATGTATTGAAACAAATACATTGTTTTCAAGATAGAAAGATTGGACATGAGCATTAAGCAGCAATGTTTTGTGTGCTGTTGCTTCAAATGTTTTTGTTACCTGACCACAATTTACCTACTGCCAAAGACATTTCTCATCATGGGAATGCCTGCCTGAGTAAATGTCTGTGTCATTACTGATAAGTAACTTTTACCTTTCATGGTTAAAAAAAGAAAACAAACAAACTATCCCTGTGCAAGGTTCAGTTTGTGGTTATTTAGGTTTCAAGATATGCAATTATCCAAAAGAAAAATCAAAAAACTATAATGATGACATAAAAATGAAAGTATGTTTTACCTCTGAATGAATTCTAGAGTACAGACGGCCTCTTCCTGGTACTGCAGGTTGAGCATGTAGAAGATCGCAAACAAGGCTGCAAAAACGTTGGTGTGATGCCCTCAAACATCACACGGCCCTCAAGGGAGATCATCCATCTTTCAATAGTGACTTGTCCTGTTCCACCTGAAACTTAATGTCAGAGCAAAAATCTTAATTCATCTCACCTTATCCAAGCATTATGTACAATAATAGAGCAATGGCTTGTATGACACATGTGTCCTATTAAATACATACCAAGCAGTATCAGGCGAGGACTTGCAGGAAGCGTGAGGGTTGTCTCAACATCAGCTGCAGTGAAAAATGGCTGTCGGGAACAGACAAAGGCATACATTTTATGAATATAGTATGGTTTTATTAGACAAAGAAGAAAAAGGTAATCAAGTAGAAAACACTGGGTGAGAATAACCAGTAAAAAAAGTAGGCTTCTGAAGTACTGTAGCTGGCGTACTGTCAATAAATAGATATCATATTTAAAATGTAAATGTAGGTAAATAAAGCAAATATATACTGTATATACTTATATCTGCAAGACGGACCAGCCCTGTAAGGTCTTCTCTAAAGTGTGCCATGAGCAGCTGCAGAATGCGGAGCCCCATCTCATTTTTGTCACCATTGGAGAGCACATCCTCAACTTCCTTATTTGTAGGTATCTTCATGAAGAACTCTTTGATGGATCTCCCACATTCCTCCATGCTGAGTTCCAAGCTACGAAGCACATTGATGTCAGTAAGCAGCTCAAAATGTGTTACGGTAGAGTGAAGCAGGCAGGACCCAAATGCAGAATAAACTGATAACACCTTTATTTCAAGGATATGAATAAAACTCGGACAAAACAGAACACTCCCCGGTGAACTCAGTCACCAACAAAAGACGAACCAACACTGAACACAGGAAGAGCCAAGACTAAATACAGGGAGGGGTAATCACAAGACGAGAAACAGCCGGGCAGGGGAGGAGAAACACAAGGGCCACAGGTGAACACAATCAGACAACTAGACACACCAGGGAAACTAACGACAGGAGGAAAAACACAGGGAAAAGGACCAGACAATATACACGGAGGAAAACACGACAGGGAGAACAGCAAAACACCCAAAACAAGACATACAAAACGTAACATAACACAATAATCGTAACAAAATGAGCATATATGCTCCTTTGAGTAAGACAAAACACACTTAAAGCATCAATTAGGGGTATTTTTATGAACTCTCATGTGTCTTACATAGGCCAATATTGTTAAACAGTTATTACCACAGAACTGATAGGGGAACATGGTTGCAACCAATGTAGGAAAAAACGTTTTACACAATGCCCTGACTTTTACTCCACATTCTCAATAACAAATAGTGTGCACACCCACCAAACACATTTCTAACAAATTATGCATCGATGTTGAGGCTGGAATGTTATAATCTCAAACCAAGTTGCAATGTTAACTTTGGTAGGCTTGTCTATAAAATCAAAAGAAAATAAATGTTTTAATTGTATGTAGCCTTTACACACTTTTAGACAACTTTTCTCTTAAATATAAAGCACTTTTCTGCTTATAATCATCTGCATCAACAGTATAACATTCTTGTTGAGTGTGTATTTTTGGTGTACAGTTATTTACAAGCGGCAAGAGGCTATAAGGTAAAGTTAGCTAGCTAGTTGACTAGGGCAACCATCTTGGCTAGGGCAACCATCTTAGCTAGTGCGGGAAAATCAACAGCAAAAGAAAATGTTATTTTAATTGTATACACGTGTAGCCTAAACACTTTCACCCGACTTTCCTCTCAAAGATAAAGCACTTTTCTGCCTGGATTTATCCGCATCAACAACATAACCATCTTCTTTATTCAGTGCTCGATCACACAGTCAATGCTTCAACAGCTTGCTGGGCATCCGTTTTATTTCAAACATTATTTTTGGGAAATTCGCATTCTTGAATTAAACTGAGAAAGAGAAAAAAAGGTTTGTAATCACCGTCGATTTTGTAGATGCAGCCAGATGGATGAACCCGGAGTTTCTGTTGATGAAAGCGTACCTCTGAGCTGCAGGCGTGTTGGCTCCATACACCCGATTTCCAAAAAATACTGTAGTTTACCGTTAGTTAACCATAACCCTTTGAAGTCGACCGCCGCGCCGGCGCGATCATGTGAACTGTTCAAGCCAACGCCGCATAAAAACAACATAGCGGACATTGCAGACTTTCTGTCGAAAGTACTGGCTTGAAACTATAAGCCAGTCTTTGTTTCATTCAAATCGACCCAGTAAAAACGGAGATACGATAAAATTGATAACAATATATTTTGTTCACCCGCTCAAAAGGTATGAAAAAAGGAAGCGCATATTTGAATATCTTTGCCCTATTTTATAATTTTACTGAACGGAAAATGATGCTGGAAACTGTGGTTCTATTTCGTCCCTATAGAGAGGCGAAGTCCCTCCCCTTCCGAAAGCCTCCATGGGACCCCGGAAGCGGAAAATTATACATTGAAGTCAATGGAGAGAGAAAGGTTATCTTTTGATCCCGTTTGAATTGTGCCACGAATGACACATATGATGTTTGTCAATTTAAAAGAACATTTTGCAAGTCAAAAAAATAAAAATGTGTCGTAAAACTGTGAAGTTACACATTTTTTTGTGTGAAACCGCTCAGTGAACTACAGGTCTCTCGTCTCGCACAATACGCGTCACCAACATAAAGATGGCCGTCACGTTAGCACATTTCACCACATTCTTTCAGAATGAGAATAAAAGTATTTTACGAGGTGAAAATCACTACAAGTCTGGGCACGTTGAGAGCTGTACCTATATGAAAGGGGAGTTAGTCGGTTCTGTAAGAGCCAGCATGCGGGACCGGCTTTACAAGGTTTCGGTGAGTAATATGAGTGCAATGTGTAACGTTAATGTCAGCTAAATAACATTAGCTAACAAGGTACACTAACGTGTTTTGTTTTAGCAACTAGTTTTCTCCTTAAAGGAATGCTCCACTCATTAGATAATTAATCAAAACTTCAGTATTTAGTGAAACATTATGTTTAAACCATACCCTGAAGAAATCAGCGATATTCTCCTGTAAATAATGATTTTATAGCTCTTTTTTATCAAAACCTGTATATTCCGTCAGGCCGCTGCCATTTTGCCCATTTTCAGTAGTCACGTGATGGTCGTGACGTCATCCATGCGTTCACTTTGTAAACACACGAAAACATGGCGAAGTTTTGAGCAATATGAAGAGATTGGAAGGGGGAATTCAGCCATACAGGTTCGAGCCTACTTAGTACTACTTAGTAGATACAATGATTTTGATTACTAGATATGTATGCATGTAGTACCACCCTTGCTAGCGATTCCCTCTCTAGTTTAGCATAATCAGCCTCGTTGTCCCTGGCCCTAGAACCACGATTTTATGGGGCCGGAAAACTGGGGGGAAATACCCACTAGCCGGTACTACGCTATATGGAAAGGCCACCAAAAACTGGCCTGGCCTGGACGATAAAGGACGTTTAAACGGGGCTACCCGCTGCAATGGAAATGCGCCATAACATACCTTATTCTTACTCCGAGCACTACTTCTGGTTCTCCGTCGCTTCACACTTGCAGAGGGCGATTTCTCAACTGGCCGAACTGGTGTCCTGGTCAGTGATGACACCAGAAAGACCAATGGTACTGCATCTCCATTAAGTAATGGTTGTTCAATAAATCCCATGTTATGTTTTATCATACTCATAGTAGTCGTCCGGAAACTTGAAATGTTCGCTGCATACATGCGCCTGTGGATCTTTCGGTTCGGGCCGGCCACATTTCGCTAGCCACTGCCTCCGAACGTACTTCCTACGCTTACCTTTTGGCAACAGATAGAACCGAGCATTCCGTGGATTGTTCCTATCATAACTGTGGCAATGTTTCGCGATACAATGAGGCATATTTGAAGAGAGTAACTACAGTAAATAACATGAACATCAACGTGTCCTCGAAACCAAACGCATGGTTTACGTCACGTCCGGTAAAATGGCGCCGCCCACAGTGTTGATGTTATTTCGGTAATTAATCAGTTTAAAATCACTGATAACGTCATCGGATTACAAAAAAAAAAAAGAGAGACTGGCAGAGACTGGTCTGTTTTATCGGATGATAATTATTTAAAAATGAGTGTCATGAGCATACCATTCCTTTAAGAACTTCGTGGTCTCTGTGTATGCTGTGGATAACATTAGTGTTCACAAGAACAAGGTACACTCCCGTGTTTTGTTTTAGTTGCTCTTCAGATTGAAGCGGACAGTTTTATATCGACTATACTGTATGTGTGATCTCCTTTGTGTCATTTGAGTTTATTTGCTGTGTGTAGATTCAAGGATTTTGGTTATCTTGTCAATTTGTTTGGTTATCTAGGCACAGCTGTGTGTGACTCCCTCTGGTACACTGGTATGTGTGTTCCTAATGTAGAGAGCATTGATTAATTAATAAACTACACACTGAGTCTAGATCCTGATCAAATCCTTTTTTTTTGTTGATCAAATGTTTTTCAAAATGTATTCATACACATTTAAAAAAATTAGGGCTGTCAGTCGATTAAAATATTTAATCGCGATTAATCGCATGATTGTCCATAGTTAATCTCGATTAATCGGAAATTAATCGCACATTTTGTATCTGTTCTAAATGTACCTTAGAGGAATATTTGTCACGTTTTTAATACTCTTATCAACATATGAGTGGACAAATATGCTTTATGCAAATGTTTATTATCATTTGAACAATGACAAATATTCTCATGAATATTAAACACAACAACCTCATAGGTAATACAGAAAAATCAAACAATAACAACAATCAGACAAATATATGGAAAAATAAACCCTCCCACCCCCAGATCCTGACCATCCTTGTATTGCTCATTCAATCTATTATAGCATGCTAACAAATGGTACTTACTTTATTTTTACAAATCTGCATGGGAGACGATGGCGCGATGCAGAGCGCTGTCTGTGATTGTGCACGGGGGATGTACAAATGCAGCCACACTGCAGCATTGGCAATATTTGCCATGTGGCAGATCAGCTCCACAGATGTTGAGTGCCAGTGGAGGAAGCCTGGCACTTCCAAAGTAGTCCAGCCGGTGTCTCAACTCTATCAACAGCAAGAGGAGACATACAACCCACTGGCCAGAGACATCGCCACTCAGGATGTAGACTGGTTCAGGTCTGCACTGAGGGGCACACAGTGTGGCATGGCATGGCTTTTATCACCTGAGCCAGAGCCGCAGCCTCAACATCAGGCCATTGTCACCGTGCCGGAGCTGGTGAAGGAGCATGGGGGTCGGGGGCTTGAGGCAATTCTTGCCTCAATGCGACTGACAAGAGACCAGCAAGCTGCCATCCAGACAGCCACCGTAGGACAGCGGACAAATCCCCAGTGGCAGTTACACAGACAGGGCAGGTTGACAGCCAGCAATTTTGGTGCTGTGCTGAGGTCGGGACTTTCATCCACTCCATGCGCGTCCCTCATGAAGAGGGTGCTTGGGGGTTACAATTTAGACGGAGTCATGGCTGTCAACTGGAGAGTTGTAAATGAGGCCGAAGGGGTGAAGGCTTTTGTGCAGGCCTATCGGGTGACAGTGATCGACGCTGGTCTCTTTGTGAGTGAGTCGGGTGTTTTGGGAGCATCACCCGATGGACTTGTGCAGCCATCTGCCCTGCTGGAGGTGAAGTGTCCACACAGCCAGAGGAACATGACCATCGCAGAGGCAGTCCAGTTACCATCCTTCTGTCTCC